GATATGTTTTGTTTGTCGTGATACTGTGCTTTATATGGGTGGGTAGAGGTGGGATGGTGGTGTGTTACTTACTATGAAGCTACTATGCAGATGAGATCGTCCGGACATCACAAGTATGAAGCATGACTTAGCAGGTAGAGAACAGGAAGACGGTAGTCATCTATTGTATGAAGTGTACAAAACTGGATACTCGTGTAGAGGTAGTTAGTATTGACTAGAGAATATACACAAAGCAAACATCGCAGTGAAGTATACAGACAGAACCAGCCCAACAACCCCAATCCTTCATTCTGTCTACAGCCTACCTACTACCTATCTCGTCCATCTACATATATGCCCCTCAAGCATCCATCCATCGTCCATCCCAAGCCACACATCCTAAGTCAACAAGAACAAAGCAACCCAACCAGACAATCACACAAACAAGCAGTACGTAAAAGAATGGCATTCAAAAGAGTTACTCAATCAAGTCAGTCAGCATTTAGCAGTCAGTCACACGGGAATTGAAACGTCCAACTTGCCTACCGGCTAACCAATTGTTGCCATGGCTTGTCATCATAGTAGTCATAATAGTAGTCATAATATTAATGGCTCTTGTCCGGTGACATGGTGATATCACTCAAATCCCCGCTTTACAGCCTGGCTCAGCTCGTGTGTTCGCTTGTTGGTTGTCTGTTTAGTTGGATGGCTGGCTGGTTGACTGGCTGTCTGTCTCTGTTGTGGTGCGTTCCCTCGGGTTTGCATGTGCTGATGCCATTGCTGATGGTGATGGTGAGGGTGATGATGATGATGATGATGATGATGATGATGATGCTGCAGGTGGACGTATGCAGTAACTAACTAGTAGTAGTCATAGGTAGTATGAGAGGAGGAGGAAGGGTGAGGAGGAAGAGAGAGGAGGAAGAGAGAGGCACACTGGACAGGCTAAAGCTGCTCATCTTTCAGGAATGGGTAATACAACCATTTCCTTATATCAACCTATCTCTATATCTATAGACCTTTACCTACAGATATAGGTACCAATCTACTCACTTCTACCTGTTGTAAAGTCAGGATTATATGTCGTGCGTGATACAAACAATACCATTCTAGCACCGGCATATACTACACTATCATATACTCTAGTACCTAATCTGCTCCATCCGTCTATAGCCGGGCTAATTATACAGATGTATACACCACCGCACCACTTCGAAACTCAAGTCTTCTTCAAGTGCTAGTTGACGATTCTAGTCTACCAAGTATCATTGTCATACTAATCAAGCTATACAATGAAGATTCCATCCAATATATAATAAATCAAAGATAAATAAATTTAAAAATCAATAATTCGGCTTAGCTCGTATAAAGGTATCCGGCAAGAAATGAAGAAGAAAGAAAAAGAAAGAAAACTACTACAACAGGCCACGAAGAAAAGGGGAAAAATCATCATCTCCTCAAATCAATAACCCACCCCCGTATCAACATGTATAGTGGTAATGAAAGAAGGTCGAAAGGTTTCAAGTAAAAGGAAGTAAGAGCAACGCCATCCTGTGCAATGTGGATCGTAGATTCGCTCGAGCCCATGATATCAGATCATATATATATCATATCATATCATAATATGTTGTATCATATCGGTCGGATGTGGCTGGGCTGGGACTGCACTTGTTTATTGGGGTTTTGGGTTTATTTTGAATGCTTGTTGAGGGCTTGCTTGAAGCTTCGTTGGTCTGATAGGGATCAACTGATCAACGGAATTTAGCGCGGCATCGGCCCATGATTTCGCCCTGGCAGACTAATTCCGCGCTGAACTCGCTGCCGTCCAGCGTTAGGTAGATGTCGAAGTAGACTCGGTAGAAGGTTCCCTGGGGTGTGTCCATGCGTTCAAAGTCGGTTTCGAGGTTCTTGCGCGAGAGATCTGAGGTGAGGGTGACGACTTCCTTGATGCCTGTTGAAGTTAGTATGGTTTTATTGTTCTTTTGACTAGCAAAAGAAAAAACTTACGAGGATCCTTCGTGTATTCAGGACAGACATCCTCATCGCAGGCGTACAAGATATCCTCGTACATGAGGGTCGCACCAGGCGCGACCTGTCGGAAGAAGCTGACCTTGACCGGCTCGCCAATCTTGACTCGCTCGCCCTTTTGGACGAAAATCTGCCGGGTGTACTTGCAGCGATCGCGGCCATCCAAACTGGGAACCCGGTACTGCTCCGGGTGGTAGCCTTCCTTGAACGGCTGCAGCGTGGCCATGAGGTAGTGGCGACGCGCGACACGGTGCGTGACCACGCGTTCCGTGATACCGGCCGTCACGGCGCCCTTGACGATGGCGGCCACCGAGTCCATCGGCCGGACCACCTTCGCTTGGTACTGCGGCGGCACATGAAGCTTGATCTGCTGGAACAAGTACTCCGACGCACCGAAACCACCCACGACGAGGACGTTCTGCTAGGGTTAGTCGGTTGACGGGATGAAAATGGATGGTGGTCATACCTGAAGAGATCGATTCTGCGCCTGGATGGCGATGATCTGGTTGCGGACCAGCTCGAGGATGCGGTTAACGACGGGCTCGAAGCACTGGAGGATCTCCTCGTTGGTGAACGTCATGTACCCCTCCTCGATGCCGGCATCCGGAAAGTCCGCCTCGATGCCCACGTCCACCGCCCACTTCTGCCCGTTGTTCCGGAAGTCGGCCTTGATCCGGTTCTCGAAGTCCATGATGCACTTGGCGTAGACCTTGCCGGCGGTGCGCGATCCGTCCGGCAGCTTCATCTTGCGGATCTTGGCGCGCAGGATGTTGCTGAAGTTGCGGTTCAGCGCGGTCGAACCGCACGAGTCACCCGACCCGGCGGTGCATTCGGCGACGCTGAACGGCTGTTCCTCCTCGACTTCGTAGGCGATCAGATCGACGGTACCACCGCCGCAGTCGACGATCAGAATAGCGTCGCCGACCTTCAGGTTCAGCAAACCGGTCTTGGCGCAGAAGATGGCGGCGGCCTCGGGCTCCGAGACCAGGGTCAGACGGTTGTCGTTCTCGTCCCGCAAGAACCCCGCCTGGAGGGCGGCCGCGCGCGTGGCGGCCTTGCCGGCGTCGTTCCAGATGGCCGGCACGGTGAGGTAGTATCGGATGTTGCGCTCCTCTCGCGTAAATACCTCACCCAGAGTCTTCTGCAGCTGGGCGCGCATGGCCTGGCGCAGCTTGAAGAGGTAATCGGCGGCGACATCGATTTCGGACTTGCCGGGCGGCAGGGGCGGGAGGTTGATGGGGTCGATGTAGGTGTTGCCGGACAGCATGAGCTGCAGCTTGAACCACTCGACCTTTTGCACCCCTTGCTTCGGATAGCCGGTGGGGGCGAGCGCATCGGCGATATCAGGGCCCCAACCCACGACCTTCTGGTACTGGTCGTAGTACAGGACGGTGGGGATCTATGACAAAAATGAATCAGACGGTCAGCGGGATTTGTCTCACCCGGGGGGATTATCTCGGGATGAAAAGGATGCCGCAACCCGGAAGGGCGGTGAGAGGGGGAGGGGGAGGGAGAGTCAGGGGAAGACAAGTAACGCAACCCACCTTTTGTTTGGTGTGCGTCCCCGCCCCAGGCCATTCTGTGATAATATCTTCCCTCGCCTCGTTGTTCGTGGCAAACGCAAAGGCCACACCGGAGAAGGTGGTGCCAAAGTCGATCCCCACGATCAACTGGGCCTTACTCCGACCCGCACCTTCGACCTCGACGGCGGGATTGCGCATGGGGTATTGCTGAGCCTGGGGCATCCCCGGAGCCATGCCATGGGGCGCCGGGGGTTGCATCCCATAGCCGGGAGGCGCACCCATATGGGTTGCGCCCGGGGGTGCGTAGGGCATGTTGGTGTTGAGCGGGGGCGGGTGGTGACCGGGCGGCATGGGACTCGTGGGGCGGGCGGCGGTGTTGTAGGTATAGCTGGGGGGGCGACCCAGTTGGTTTGGGTTATTCATGGGGAGGCTGGTGGAGGAGGAACTGTGGCCGGAGGGAGGCGAACTGGGAGAGGTGGTGGAAGCGGGAGCGGCGACGAGGGTATGAGTGCTGGCCTGACCACTGGAGACGGAGGCGTCAGGCGAGGTGGTGGGAGAGGAAAGTTGGGGAGGAGGAAGCTGGGGTGGAGGAGCAACAACGGGTTGGGAGTGATGTTTGTTGCGTTTCCCAAAGCCAAAGGACTTTAACCGGGAACTCATCAGGTCCATGTGAATGATTTAGGGGACAATTCTGGAGGGAGAAATAAGAGAGGGGGGAAAGAGGAGAAGGTGTAAGAATTCAACAAACCCAAAACGAAATTAAGAAGTAAAAATGGAAAACCAAAAAAAAAAAACCAAAAAGACAGACCAAAAGATGACTGGAAAACAAAGAGTCAAGAATCGAGGGGAAAAAAGAGGCAGTGTTGGTTCTGCTAAGCCGCACGGTGAGAAGTGAGAGCGGGGGGGGAAAATTACAGCCAACGAAGGAATACGAGATCAATCAAAGAAGATTGACAGGATGGATCAGTTGGAGTATTTGTAGGGGAAACAAGGCATTCATTCTTCATCATTTATTCATCGACGGACAGGGTGGAATGCCACAGAATCTGGAATGTAAATGAGGTTATTTCAATACTACATATCATCTGAATCCTACGAGGACATCTTAACTACCAACTAGAGGAAGAAGGAGAGAAGAGAAGATATTAATAGATGGATATCAATTGATTCAAGCAGACTTGCCATGTTGGGCATGTTCATCGCCCCCCAATCCATCCTGTATCATACCGTCTCATACCGTATTGTGGTTTCTTACCAGGTCAGGGGGACTCGCTCCTCTGCTTGTGATCACGATCCTGTTGTTCATCGTGGCCTTCTCTCTTGGCTGATCTCTCTTGGCAACGTTTGAGTCTTTCGAAAACCAGAAAAACAGACATCGTCCCTATAGATTGGGAAGGTCTTCGTGGTCTGATATCCCAGAGAGAATAGAATGGAGAATGTGATCAACCCCAGGTTCAGGTGGGGATAGAGCCTCAACCAAACTCCTGACTGAACGGGGTAACCGTTAACCCCCATACTCAAGTCTCAGCCCATCAACCCACCAGGCTCCATAATCTCCCAGTTCCTCCCCCTCCATCCAATATACCGGTCTTCATCAAACCAAGAAGAAGAACCGTGGGCAGCCTTGTCTAGCCTGACAACCCATCGGGCCTATCTTCATCGCTCCTCGACTGCGGCTGAAGATGGTCGTGCCGATCCCTGTCACGTTCCGTACTAGTCCATACCATCATCCCCTTCCTCTTCCCCATCAGCCTGTATCGTGCATTCCCTCTCTCCGCCACAAGGCAGACTGCTCTATACATAGTATCCTCCTCCTCCTTATAGGGCTCGCATCTGACTGTGTTTGGGGGCATGTTGTGGCTTTGCGGGTTTGGTCGGTGGCTGGTCGGTCTATCGCTTGGTCGAGACTATGAAGGAGTCTCATGCTTGATGGATGGACGTGGCGGAGTTGTACATATATCGCTGGATTCCATGTGATTTATTGAACGTCTGTGCTTGCTAGATTTGGTTGTATTATGCGATGTTATATACTTCTGGGATATAACGCCAATCAATTTCTGACAAGATCATGTCACTTAAATTGATATCTCATCAATCTAAACTATTGGATTGAATAATGGTATAAGTGTCATGATTGTGTGATACATACAATTGCGTTGGCCTTTTGCTGATACTATCCACGACCACTATCTTTATCTGAGAGCGACCATGTGAACTTGATGGAATCAATGATATCAAATATATACACATAGTTGCAAATATGATAAAGAGTTGGAAAGAAAGCAAACAGAATTGGTAATAGAACTCTGTATGGCCAGCTGGCGGATTTGACTGATTATATCACTGAGTCTCATATTTATCACAGTATACATAACTGATTTGCAGTGCATATCCATGGTACATATTTTGTTTGATAAAGTAACACCCACCCTAATTCTGAAGGCCAATCAATAACTTTATTCAAAGTATATGAACCAAACTCCATCATGCTATAGAGTTATCATGAATATAATCAGAGTAAATTAGAGTATCAAACAAGTTTATATATGGCAACTAAAGTACATACTTGAGATATGCACAAGACAAATAAGACCCGACAAAACTAGTGTAAGTCTTTGAAAGATAATGATTGTATAGATAGCGGCAGATCTGTCAGGTATATTTGAAAGGAGAGGGGAAAAGTGCTCTATATTGCCAGTAGAAGTGGATATGGCCACCATTGTTCCATAGAATATAGTAATTCACATAACCAGCTACAGCATAATTTAAACTGACCTATAGAAGAACTTTGACTCTATCTCATGTTTCAAACATTCAATGCTGTTTGATATACATGTTTTACTGTCCATCACAACTCACTGACTCCTCAAGGCCTGCTATGAACGCATCTCAAAAAGACGTCGAGGTTCAAGAGGATCACTCACCATCGATTCTCACCCGTACACATGATGGAAAAATAGGCCCTATCCTTTCCAGCATATATTAGAGTCTTCTTACTAAAAAGCTGTGATAATACTGTTCAGAAGCAAGACATACAATCAGGCGACAGGTCGACTGACGTGCACTTTTAACTACTCATGTTTCTTTTTGCAAATACTCGCAAGCCTTCCATCAATTACATCAATTACATTAACATTTTGACTGTTTTCATCGGCCTAATACCAGCCAAAGATAGCCTAGATCCTGAGTTGCCCAAAGCTTGGTCCCCATTCTTGGTAGAAATCTACGCAGCCATATCAAGGACCGCCTTGTGGGTTAAAAGGAGCAGCACCTATAGTCAATACGCCATGTAATTTGCTTGTACTAGATGTGGCAGGACCGATGAGAACAGTCCATAACCATGATGTGTTCGATGATCCGGGAAATGCTATGAAAAAGGTTACGAATGGTCGCAAGATTGCAATCAATTCGAGATACAAAATTGTGGGTGAAGCTCTGTGAGTAAACTGATGTTGGCTGATTGCAAATCAATCTTCCACACTTGATAGCACTGCAGATATATGGCATAATGTGCTGGGATTCAGTCAGGTCAAGCCCTCCCAAAAGCTGTTCAGTATTTTGGTGCAGTGGCTGTTATAATGTAAGTAGCTCATCTGGGCTCTGGAATTGTCATGTCTACCATCTAGCCTCGAGGATTAGATCGAGCTCTGATAGAATAGAGGAGATACTAACACCGATAAATGTTGCCTTCATGGGATTGATATTCTATGGAATAGCCAAATGACCTTTGCGAAGGGCCAAATCTAATAGACAGTATAAACTGAGCAGATTCTGCTCTATAGCCAGTGGACGATCATACTTTGAATTCTTGATTTTGACTCATTATGTTCACTATTTTATATTGTAAATAGCTGGCATTTGATACAACAACTTAGCTTCAAAGATTATCGCATAACAGGAAGAACAATATACTGGGTGTTGACTAGCATTTGATAGCCATTGATGTTGGCTCTTTTCTCCTTGGTCATGCTTTCCCTTGGAAAGAAGAGATCTAAGTCTACTTAGTGGTGTATACTTCGACATGTATGTATCCACACCTACTGTCTTTGATGAAGTACATGATCAGAATGTTTGTCAGACCGTGTCATTTAACATATTGGAGATTATACCTATCGTCGGGATCTAGAATTATCTAGTACACTTAGCTTGTTTGTCTTCCATAAGCCCATCCTGATTCATTCATTTGGCTGGTATATTGTTTCACTGTCTCATTTCTTTTCTCTTTATGGATTTTCCAGACCTTGATTGATTCGCATGCAGACAGACCTTTCGTATATGATATCTAACACATCTTAAAGAGACTGCAGTAGCCATAGACAATATCCCAGCGCCTACACACCTCAAGTCATATTCAAGCAATCAGTCTCATGATAGACAGATGGCTTGTATTTGTACACGTGATATATACAAATTCAAGCTATATATTAAGTATTTTGAATTGACAGACTCAGGTTGATTTCTTGCTAGCCCATACACCGCTTCCTATAACCAAAGATTAAGATTGAAGTAATCATTCCCAGGTCAATGTCTTGCTAGTCATTCCATGTTGTTCTACATCTGAGTGAATATTGAGCAAGCCATCATCAGGGAAGAGATATCATGGCACTTTGACCTCCGTAAGTAACCTTATATTCAGTGCGACAGGTTGTTATCCGGGCTGTTCTCTGTCCTGATAGCGAAGGGTTTGAGATGGTAGCTGTGTAGTGTAGATTAAGCTGTCGGTATACAAACAGCATGACATCTTCTATTGAATGCATATCCAAGCAAACCCTCCCTTCCAGTATAGCATGAACTTTTGTGCCAGGCTCAAGCACTATATCATCTACAGCTATACAAATCGTAGCTTGAGCCCAGAACTCAAACCCACAAATCATAAACAACCAAACAGACATAAGTCCCCCAGCGGAAGTATCGCTCCTAGGTCTTAAACAGCTGCCACACTAAATAGGTTCCTAGCGAATACCAAAAAACCACGATATCTTCCACAGCCTAGCATCAATCCCTCCCCTCCTTTACCAGCAACATCAACAAACCAACCATCATCCACACACACACACACACACACACACACACTCCCGGCCTACCTACAGCTTGTCCAAGAAAAAAGCCCCTACCACAACTCTAATACAAGCACAAAAACCTGACTCAACGCGCAGCTCTAGAACCCCACGTTGTACGCGCCACGCCCTACCCGGGGATTCCGATTAGCTGCTCTCCCATGTGGATCGATTAGATCACCTATGTGTGTAGCACTGGAGATGTTGGTTGGATGGATCGAGATACGTAATAACCTACTCTAGCTCGACCGTGTTGCGCTTTATGTATGTTCTGAGTTTGTTCGAGGGTGGTTTTGGATATGTGATATCTTCTATCTGTGTGTCTAACCTACTACTAGCAGTACCTCGGGGTAGGTCTCAAAGTATTCCATCAACTACTGGCATCCAACTTTGATAGTCAGTATCTAGAAAACGTAACCAACCATAGAATGGCATGCCCAATCCTAGAACAAACTAAACAAAGTACGAAGGTGCCTTTCCATGGAAAAGTCGCCACCCAACCACGGTCCTCCCAATTCGGAAACCCTGCTCCGAGGCCGGCATAAAAATAACTAACAGTTACGATGGGGGCAGAAAAAAGGTAGGGAAAAAAAAAAAAAAAAGGGCTATGATGTGCGACGGTAGTGCTCGGAACCCATTCCGAGCCGCTCGTCCGCACCAAGGTTAGGCATCCGAGACGACGTGAGTTGAGTCGGTTGTGGATCTGTTTGGGCTGTGATTTGTTGACTTGATACGAGGAACGGTAACTCGGGAATGACTTTTTTTGTGGCTTTATCCTTGGCGGCATTTATCTCTTTTATTCTTGTTTTATCTATCTGTTTGTTTGTCTGTATATGGGGTAGATATCGAAGTTGAATATCTTGCTTTACTAGCCCTACGGAGTGAATATTGAACCATCATGGTATAAATATAATGTAATGACTAAAATTAATAATATCACCAACTCGATATCCACGGAAAGTGGACAACTGCAGCTCCCACGTGGACCTCTCCACGGCATTCACCGTAAATTAACATGCTACACACTGACCCCTTACCAATTAGGTAAGTCGAGGTAGGTCCATCTTAGCCGTCCCGTGTTCTTCGATAAGTAGGTAGTAGTAGTAGGAACCAAGGTACGTACTGTCGTATGCAGATGGAGACGGTGACAGACGGCTGTCAGACGGCGCAATCAACACGAGACGAAGACAGGCCACGTAGGGGAAACTCCTGCAGACCAATCCCTAGCCTAGGCTAGTTTTTAGTTTATGATTTTCAATTCTTAGTACAGATATGTACGAAGTAATTGGGATGGGTGGCTGATGATGCTGATGATGACGACGAGGGACGGCAGGAGGGCACCGTGCTCGTGCTCGTGCTCAGACCTAGTCTAGCGGACTAGTCGTCCACGGATGTCTCCGAAGTAGTATCTGAGTAGCCAACCAGTACAAGACATGATAATATTAACTTCCGGTAGTGACTCCTCGGTTAGCGGGAGGAAAAGTTAGTCCTCTCGTTATGGGGACCGGAGTCCGGAGAGACGGAAAACCCCTCAAGATGTGAACCGCCTAATACCACTCCGGCATTGAATGCGAGAATTTCAAAAGGATTGGGAAAAATTAAGGTGCAGCGGCCGACTGTCACGGGACGGACCACAACCACATGGAAAAAAAATTCAGTCGGAGGCAGGCGATCCAATCATGTCTTGTCACTTCTACCTTACCTCCTACCACCTATCTAGAATCTATATATCTACTTGATTCTTGTTGTTGCTATCCATATGATATAAGATATAGGATACTATCATAGACTGTAATTGTTACTATCTAGATATATCATTCATATGCTCATCTGAACCAACCCAAGTATCTACAAAATATGCAACAATTGAAAACAGATCGTACTGATTAACTGAGCCTAGTCCCCCGGCTGAACGCCGAAATTAGAGCGCCAGGATGACGAGCCCAAGCCCCCCAAGACGGAGTAGTTCGGTCCCTTGTTCTAAAATTTTCCTGTGCGTGCCATGCCACTACTGTACGCACTAGTCTCCTAGTCCACTAGCCTCCCCCAAGCTAACTCCAAAGTCGTCGTGGCATCGACGCCGTGGCTCACGGTCCGTATCATGATCGGATCTCGGTTAGGAGTAGCTTATTGAACTACCAGGTTAACACCACACTACATACGGAGTATGGACTACGGAGTACTACGTAGGTGTCAGATATCACGTCACCTTGGATTTGAAAGGGGACCATGTGAATCTGAGTCTGTTTCGATAGTTGATTCCTGCGACGGGTCCGAGTTCAATCCGTGCCACGCTGTCTATCTGATCGCGCCGCCGGTCAGTCTGCGGGGAAGGTTTATCCTCCTCTGTTGTTTGTCTCTGGTGGTTGACTTTCCCAATCCGTTGGTGGAAGATAATTCTGGAATATCTATTATCTTCTTATGATAACATCATAATAATCACGATCATTATCGTGAAAGGAAAGAAGGAAACAGCGGCTAACCACCCAAGCAATTGATCTGGAGATTATTTCCGACTCGACGCAAGTTGGACGAGAGCCGAGAGCTCAGGCCCTAGCGAACCTGCAACTGCAGGCACACCTGCTGTAGGCTGTAAAGACTATCACGGGGAGAGACGGCCGAGACGTGACCATGCATGCGTTCCGTCTTGTCGTGGGGTCGTTTACCCACCAGTTTTACTTTACAACTAGCCGATGGAGCCGTGGGATCTCGAGTCTCGAATATGTGATTTTCGGCCGAGGATGGGTTGGGCTGAGCCACTAGGTTGATTGAGGGTGGTCAAGCCACGCAGCCTTATCCATCGATCCATCACATCTGGAGTTCACGTCTTTGGGCTGGTTGGATAGGCGGGTTCATGTCGGTTCTGGCTGAGTATTTCTTGACCTTATATCCTTGTAAATGGGGGTAGTATAGAATGTACCTGATGACACGAGGAAATTTGAGCTCTCGATATGAGATTCGTCATATCATCAATACTACGTCGTCTACCTTACCCTAGTAGACGTGGATGGGGCTGGCGGACGGGAAGAATGAAACTCGGACGAAACACGGAAAAAAGCATGGAGGGTGCAAAGACGGGAGCGAAAAATCTCCGGGTGGGGACATAAATACATCAAAAATAAATGGTCAAAAATCAAATGATTAAAAACAAATATTATAGGGGAATACCGAATCAATTCACCCAGACCGATAGTTGTGATTGGAGGCGGGGACCTCAAACCGTCGGGGTTCATCCAGGTCAATCGTCGCCGGATCGAGTAGTAGTTTAGGGCTCTCGGGCCTTGGGCCTTGGTCGTTTGGCCGTCCCGGTTGAGCCATCCGGGTGTCATATCATAATCTACTGACTAGGGTTGTTTTTGGTAGGTTTTGGATCCTTTGGACCCTGAATGGTGTATACCGTATCCAGTATAGTATACACCCGGTCTGTTCGTAGCATGGAGGGACAGAAGTCACCAGTGAATACGGGTGGGATAATATAATAGAGTTGAAGAATACATAATAAAGACCATGTGTCCATGCAAGGCATTTCCCACAGCCAGGAACACCCAGTCGGCTCGTCTTCCTCGGACCCATCTAACCGCAGCAGTCACCGGGATGATCATCGAACCGTCGGATGAGATGTACGGAGTATTCGGTAGATACCTAGTATCATCAACTATCCATACGAGGTTACCGATGGGAAATGAATTACCCTAGACTCGTATCGATGATCCTGTTGAGTTGTGACGGTGGCGACTCGGATGAGACCATGTCCATAGAACATACAGTACCTACATACACTACTACACTAAACTAAAGTAGAGTAAACTAAGTAAAGTCAATAATCAAGTAAGAATAAAGTAAGAATAAAATAACGGTTATAGTCGCCGAACTAAAGTCTCAAGCTCAGGCACAGTCCCGACCGGGACCGGAGCGGAAAATAGACCAAGACTAGGCCGACTAGGGTTTCTCCTCGAGGGGTTTTGGTGTGGGGGAGAATGGGGTGGAAAAGACCGAGAATGTTGATTCATTTATTGTTTTATATGTTTTTATTTTTTTTTTTTATTTTTTTTTTTTCAAATTTTAATTTACACTGCCACTGTCGATCTCGGGAAAGTCCCAACGTTAGTCTCGGTCAGACCTCTGGAGAAGGCATGTCACGAGGAGGAAACGAAGGACCGAATGAGAGAGAGAAAGACAGACATGGGAGAAGAGAAAGAAGTACGAATGGACAGGGATGAGTTCGGAAAGCACAGGAAATGCCAGATTAAGTTCCAGATCATTTAAAACGAGAGGTAAATATGCCAGAGATATCCAAATGAGATAGAAGAAACGAGCAAGTTCAACCCGAGTGACGACCAGTGGACGAAAGGAACGATAGAATGAGCATTGGTCCCCGCTGGCATTTCGGGGTAGGACGTGTAGTCATCATAGTCATCTCTATCTCTCTGGGTCTCCTCTCTAGGAATGGAGCAAGGAAAGATTCAGGTTCTGCAGGAAGTCATGGTTGGCTCCAAATCCCCATCCGGAAGAAAGAGGAGCAAATCCCTGGGAAATTTCCCTCTTGTCGATCAGGTTCTCGTCGAATCGTCGTCGATGGTTGGCGTTCGGATATGATTCTCTAGAACTGATCCTTCTGATTGGTATAAATATATAAAAGTTAATAATACTATCATGTTTTATAGTACGAAAATGGTGTAAAACAAAAGAAGAGTAGGGTGAAAATAGAATCGAGTAGATAATCAAATCTCGTGGATAATCTACCACTCATGGTGGTGTTTCCAAATTATTATTATTATTATCATTATCATCTTTCCTATTCGTGATTTTATTATTTTATTATTCTATTTATTCTTTTTATTCTACCGGTGTATTATCAATTTAGCCTCGCCGTCTGATACGATCTTTATAGGATGTTACCCATTGTGTTGGTAAATTAGCCCTCCTCCCTCATCGTCTATCACGATACCTCCTATACCTCTTTCCATCTCCCCTATCTTGTCCTCTCCTTCTTCTACTCAATTTACCCTTCTCCCAATCCTCACTGATTCCGTTTGTCTCCCCTGAGAATCTCCAGGGTGGGTTGACCCCGGCGTGACATCCCCCACTAGGGTTCAAAACAACTTCAATCAAGGTCAACACACCCGATCCCTCTGACTCCACTCAATTCCCACATCCCCAACTTTCGACAACGAGTAAACCACCGGTTGCCACCACCGATCTGCTTCTCCCGATCAACCCATCCCCTCTGCGATCTTTTTTACCCTCCCCATTCCTGCCCGTCATCTGACTCCGTCCTCTTCCCCGTCCTCTTCCCCGTCTTCTTTCCCCCCTCCCCAACTTGCCTCTGCATCAGCAATCTTTCGCCGGATGAACTGCTTTGGGTGACCATGCAACCCCATTTTTTTCGTCCGTCGACGAGTTCCAGTCAGCCGGGCGTGCCCTATGAATTACCCCCCGTGCAGGCGGTGACTTCGTCGCCGAGTGCTTTCCACCCGGGCCCTCCTCCCCCAGCCGCCGCTCTGCTTTCCGCTCCGCCGAGCAGGCCTGACAGCGGTCTGAGGGTGGCCCAGATTTTACAGCCCGTAGGGCAACCGGTGCCAAACCCCCCCCCTCCCCCGCCAATCGGCTTCTCTCGCGCCTACGAATCGAGCGGCTCCCCGGCGGAAGGCCACTCCATCCTTCCCGATGCCCCGTTCGGCGCATCCGCATCGCCCTCCGCCCTCCACTCCGGTGGCGGAGGACATCAGATGCATCATCCGCTGCAGCAGAAGCGCGCATATCGACAGCGCAGAAAGGACCCCAGCTGCGATGCATGCCGCGAGCGCAAAGTCAAGGTAATCCTCCTTCCACCTTCTTTCCCCCTCCCTGTCCCCTCCCCAACACACCCCTCCGTCCGAAGCCAGGCGAACTGAGGGGGCGCCGTATGATTAACCGCAATTCTCCTCTCAGTGCGATGCCTCCGAGTCCTCCAGCTGTACTGAATGCACCAATCGCAAGGTGCGCTGCCAGTTCACCAAGGAGACCAACAGGCGCATGTCTTCCATCAAGTTCGTTCCCATGGGGTTGTCATTTTGTTCGTTGATGCAAGTCCCCAAGATTCTGATTCTGGTCTCCCCATCATCCACAGACAAGTGCAAGATCTGGAGAAGCAGCTCCTCTCGACGAAACAGCAGTTGCAGCAGCTACGCACAGGGATGCTGAGGTCGGATAATAACGGTCTGATGGATCTCGGCATGGACGGTGCCGCAGCACAACCGCAGCTGAAACTCCCCGAACTCGGCCACCGATCCGCGCGACGGCCCCGCGCGCCCGTCCTGCAGGATCTCTCCGCCGCGCGCGACAACATGCGGAACTACGGCAGGGGCATCTGGAAGGCGCCGACCCCGTACCGAGAACCAGGCCCGGAATCCCTCCTGACCACCGATCCGCCCCCGCTACCGTCCAAAGACCTCGCGGATCGCCTCCTCCGCCAGTACCACGCCTGCGTGCATGCGGTGCTCCCCGTGGTCCACTGGCCCAGCTTCACGGCCGAGTACGACCAGATCTACAGCGCGGGTTCGCTGTCCGGGGTACGACGCGATTGGGCGGCGGTGCTGTTCGCCATCTTCGCCTGCGGCTCGCTGCACTCGCTGGAGACGGACCGGGAGCACCGCGGCAAGGAGTTCATCCGCATCTCGTGCGGCATCATCGACGTCTGGCAGGACCACTTCACCCTGGACCGGGCGCGCGCCGCCCTCCTCGCCAGCATCTTCCTGTATGAGGCGAACTCCAAGTCCGCGAGCTGGGTGTGGATTGGGTCGGCGGTCCGCGTAGCGCAGGAGATCGGCCTACACCTCGACTCGGGCCCCTGGCCCGCCCTCGAGGGCGAGATGCGCAAACGAGTCTGGTGGGGCATGTACGCCTGGGACCGACTACTCGCCCTTGAAATGGGGAAACCAGTCCTAATCAACGACCAAGACTGCGACGTCGACCTCCCCTGTCCCGTCGACGAGAAGTACATCTCCGACGGCGGCGGATGTCCCCCCGACAGCCAGCAAACAACGCCCCTCCTCGCAACCATCCACGTCGTGCAATCAATCGGCCAACTCACGCGCACCCTGCGCAGCTCAACCATCAGCCCGCGCACGCTCGAGACCTTCGAGCGCCACTTCAAAGCCTGCCTCGCGACCTTCCCCGCGCAATACCACCCCGAATCTGACCAGTACTTCGACCCGCGCTGCCTCGCCCCCATGGTCTACCTCCAAAACGCGCGCTTCATCCTCCACCGCCACAACATCTCGCCCTTCTGCGCCCCCGACGTCCGCGCCGCCGCCCTCCACCACTGCGTCTCCACCGCCCAAGACACAGCCCACCTGCTCTCCCGCTGCATGCTGCAAGCCACACCCCCAGCCAGCCCCGCCAGCGACGACCCCAACCCCGACTGGCGGCCCCTCCTCGCCTCCTCAGCAGGCACAATGCTCTGCATCCACATCTGGCGCAGCATCCTCGTCCTCCTCTTCCGCCAGGACTACGCAGCGGCCCTCGTCTGCGCGCAAGCCGGCTCCGCCGTCGGCGACGCCCGCGCCGTCAACGCCGCCTGCGGCCGCCACCTCGCTTTCTTCCTCCGCTGCCTTCTCGACCGGCTCCGCCGGTCTGACGTCGACCTCGACCGCGACGAGGAAATGATCGCTTACATGTCGGGCGACATGCAGGGCAACACCGACGGCAGCTGGATCTGGCAGGGGTACGAGAATGGGCCGGGTTCTGCTTCCTCTCCTTCGGTTGTTAAATTCGAGCCTGGCTCGTCCCCCGTCGATCACCTCCTTCATCCCCCACATGGAAGTCCAGTCGCTGATGAACCTGCCGGATGGGACTGGATCGAGCAGACGGTGGGATATCTTTACACGGAGAGGCAGAAACAGCAACAGTTGCAGCAGCAGCAGCAACGAGACGAATACGAGGCTCAGGCGCGCTCCCCGCCCTATCTTAGCCCCGGGGCGACGGCAGTGACGGTGACTGCACCGACGGGTGCGTCAGAGTCTGTGCCGTCTAGCTCGTCGCATTCGCGGATGACGATCGCTAGTATTATCTAGTGTCGTTATCGGTCTTTGAATGGATGCATGCATGGATGATGCATGGATGATGGATAAGATAGACGATATGAGCATGAGCATGAGATACGGGTTACGATTTTTGGAGCGTTGTTTGTGTATATATTGTATATTTGTTTGATTAGATTTTTGTCTATATTTGATTTAGTTTCTATCTGTATATGGGGGTTTGCTGTTTTGGGTGTAGGGAGTGTGGCTTGGGTTGTATGAGTCAGTAGAGAGGAGAGGGGAGTGATGTAGAGTAGAGTAGGTTATGAACAATGCGCTGTGCGAGACCTGACTATCGTCTACCACGTAAAGGCTGACAGACAAGATTCTAAAAGTTCATTTCTATTTATTTATTTATTTACTTACACCATCCTATTGACAAAGTGATACACCCCAGGATCAAACTAGACCTCCAAATTAATACTCCTCCCAAACCGCGCATACAGCGCGACCTTCAACTGCTGCAGTTCGTCGCGCACCTCGCCCAGACTCTCCTCCATCTTGGCGACCTCGCTGTCGATGGTCTCTGTTGATGTGGACAGGAGGGACTGTGCTTCTGCTAGGGGGAGTTGGAAGAAGGTGTCGCCGATTTTGTACCTTTTTATTATTAGTATATTTGATTTGATTTGATTTTGGGGATGGGAGGTTAGGGGAAAGAAGGGGAATGGAAGCTTACGGGACGAGTTCATCTTCGTCGGCGAGTTCTAGCTCCATGGAGACTTCTTCGAGGTCTTCTTTGTCTTTCTATACAATTGACTAGGTTAGTTTGAATTTGATATCATACCATGTATCTATCTATCATGTATGTCTGGGACACAACCACGAGAGTGATACATATACATAGACATATGCATATATGTATTCTTTCCATAGGACAAATGGTAAAGAGGGTAGATAAAGAAGAAGAAGAAGAAGAGAGGGAAGACGTACATTCTTCCCCTGGAGCAGCTCCTCCAAGACCGACTCCCGCTGATGCAGCCGACTGAAGCGGTTGATTTTCTCTTGGTCTTCACGGCGCACCTCGTTCTCTTCCCCGCCGGCGGCGGTGGCTTCTTCGTCTTTGGAGAGCTTTTCTCTATTAATTACTGGACAGCTATAGTGGGGAGTAAGGACGTACCATGCGTGTTCGCATCATTTTGGCGGTTGTTTGGTTGGTTGATTTGGAGGGGATGGATGGATGATGAATATTTGGTGGGGAAGTCGAGATTGGGCGGTCAAGGCAGTTGATTGCCTGTTTGGGAGGGGGTATTGTGCCTGGTATGATAGATTACATGATCTTCTATGGGGTTGAATCTTGGTTGGATTTTACGTTGAATTTTTATTCTATGATTGTCTATAATTCATCTTGATTCAATCCTAATTTTTCATATATTGTTTATATATAGTAATGTTATATAGGGTGTTGAGTAGATGTGTAATTTTGGTACTAGGCTTGTATCAGTCTGTCTATGAATCCGAATCTCTTGTTCTATTCAGCAGTTAAATCAAGTGGAATAATATCACTCTGATACATATTCTCCTATTCAATCTCAATACATTATGATCGAATCTATAATATCGTGGTGGTTCAATATCAGCTGTCTGTCAATACGCAGGTCAAGTGACATCATCTCCCTCGTCATCTGTTCTGCCTCCACACCTCATCTTTCTTTTCTCTCATCTCCAACTCACTTACCACTAGAGTGACTCTCTTTTACCATTCATATATCTCAGTCGTTCTTCCTTTCAGCTGGTGGACCACGTCCTATCGTCGATCGACACCCCCCCGGTCAGCCGTACCCCGGAGAAATCCCCACCGCATCCCCGACACTTCTTTACCGTTACCAGCCACCAACGACACCTCACCTCCGATCCAGTTCCCCAACCCTTCATCCATCGATCAATCTCCACAAACACACACCATGCGGATACCGCTCGCCCTCGCACCCCTCCTCTCCGCCCTCGCAACGGCCTACACCTTCGACTGCCGTCACGTCGTCCTCGGCGAATACAAGTATGACCTGAGTCCGCTCGGCGGCGTCCACGAGGTCTACCACGCCGAGCAACAAGGCGACGCCCTCATCAACACAACCTACGCCATCAACATCTGCGGCATCCTCAAGGGAGCCGCAAACCGCGATGGCCTGAAGTGCGGGACCACCAAAAACAGTACTGTCCCATCCCCCCCCGTCAACCCTGCCCACCCTGTCAAATGAACTTACTAACGAAACCCCGTGCAAGTCTGCGCCTTCGAATACAAACTCCCCCTCGACAACAAAGACGCCGAACAACCCGGTTCCCCCCTCCGCGCCCTCCCCATCGCCGGCCTCGATCCCGTAGGCCAAGGCTCCAAAGACACCGAGATCACCCGCCTCGATGACAGCAACAACAAGCCCGACCAAGACGGCCCCGGCCTGCGCCTGAAACTCGGCGGCGGCGAAGTCAAAGACGACGCCGGGAAGAAGCAGGGCGCGCGCGCCATCATCGACCTCTACTGCGACGCGGAGCGAACGGGCCTAGAGGGTATCGAAACGATAGAAGACGTCGACGCGGACGGCAGCGCCAAGCGGGACGACAGCAACAACAGCAGCAGTCTGCAGTTCAAGAGTTTCCGCCAGTCGGACGACGACGATGCCTATGTGTTGAGACTCGACTGGCGCACGCGCTACGCTTGCGACCATTCGCTGGAGGAACGCACGGATAATTCTAGCCATTGGGGGTTCTTCACCTGGTTGCTTGTTATGTATGTCTCATTTCCCCCCCCCCCCCCCCCCATCTTTCTTCCCTTGCCTATTTCTATCTTTCGAGAGAGAAAGGAAAGACACCCCGATATACATACTAACAAAAGAAAAAGTTTCTTCCTCTGCACAGCAGCCTACCTCATCTTCGGCTCCTGGCTCAACTACAACCGCTACGGCGCCCGCGGCTGGGACCTCCTCCCGCACGCGGACACCATCCGCGACGTGCCTTATATCTTCCAGGATTGGTTGCGGAGGGTGGTGAATACGTTGCAGGGACCGGGGACGAGGGGGGGTTATAGTGCTGTTTGATTTTTCATCTTTATATCTTTTCCTCTTGTCTTTAATTTCTTCGAATTTCTCTTACGCTTTGCTTCTTCTTCTTCTTTTCTTTTCGGTTGGTTTTTGTCCGCGAGGTTCAAGGTTTATTTTCATGATATATGTTTTGCATTTGGTCTTATGTACGTCTTCAGTTGAGTTCAGTGGGCGGAGGGGAGGAAGTAGTGGTTGAGGATAGGTTAACTCGTGGTGATATAGTTATGGATCTGATGCATGAGGTGTGTTTAGATTTGGTTAGAATCTCCATATTTTTTCCCTTTTCATGAATATAGGTGGATAGGAAGCCGGTATCTTCCTGTTCTAGACCCGATTATATTATTATGTGGATGAAAGTTACTAGGTAAGAGCAGTAGATAAAAGATAGATAATAACAATAGATAGATAGATACAGTCTCCCATTCCTAACCATAGCCCAAAACAACCGTCAAAGACATACGATACGTAAGTAAAACGAACATGTCATCACTCGTAACGTCTGAACCAGCTAGATAGTACCAGCCAGACGATAATAAATAAGACAGACAGAACTGGTAGACAGAACGCATTCACAATGATCAAGAATGATTCAAACAGATTCAAGAACGAGTCAAAAGCAAGTCAAGAACGATTCATCATAGAGTCATCAGTCATCGCAGATATGTAGAGTATCTTCAGTTGACGAGGTTAGACCTTCATCGCAAACTGCTTCAGATACAGGTAGTCGGCCATGTTGGCGTCGACTGTCTTGCGGATAAGCGCGGCTCCGTCGGCGCCGTACTTGGCGGTCCATTCCTGGTCGTACTGTTCTTCGGTTTTGACGGGGCGGGGCTGGTTTCTGTTAGTATTTTCCCTTCTTGATTGACATGTCACTGGTGGGTAATGGAAGGGATGGGCATACATGTTTCCGCGCTTGCAGGCCCCCAGACTCGATCGCGTCGTTGTGGAAGCCCCTCCACTTCTCGAACTTCTCACCCACGTAGTGATGCTCTTCAGGGCTGTCCCAGTGGAGCATGTCCGGGTCATACTCCACTCCGACACTGCGGCAGAACGCCTCGATCATGGGCGCCGGCTTGTCGAGCAGGTCATCCGCGTCGATGACGCAGATCTCGTCGCCTGCGTGGCCGCCACCGCCCACTCCGTTGGAGACCACCGCGCGGCGGCGATTGTCCACAATGTCGTCGGCGGAGTCCTCGCGCGTGGCGACGTGCGGGCCGATCTGGCCCTCTGCGCGCAGGAAGTCGAACACGCGGCGCAGCTCGTCGTAGCCCGCCTCCGACGGGTCGTAGTAGTAGAACCCTGTGACGTCGTCGAGCGGCGGGATCGTGCAGCGGTAGTACGACGGCACGCTGAAGTGCGGGTCGCGGATCAGGAACGCGAAGTGGAACTGCGCCAGCGTGGCCTTGGGCATTATGGTTGGGTTGCCTGGTTCGGCGGGTGTGCCGTATGGGTAGGGCTGCTTGGACGCGATCTTGAGCGGCTTCGTGTATTTGTCGGTGGGGGCTTGACTGCGCCGGTCCGCGTCGGTGCCGTCGGCCCCAGGGGTGCCGTTGGGACAGCTGCCGCCGTTTGCTGTCCCCACGGCGGAATCATCACCGTTGGCGACCGGGTCGGTCCCGACTCCGCGTTTGATTCTGTTCAATGAGGGGGCGATACTGGCGGGGAGCCTGTCGGGAGGAAGAAGGTAGTGCAGGATGTCCTTGATGAAAATGCGCTTGTCCTGCCATCGGTAAGTGACTGGCCAGGAAGAGAATAAACAGGCAAGGCAAGTCTGGCACGGTAGATGAACAGGTTGGTCAAGGGATTGCGGGGATTGGGGGAATGAGTGCATGAGATCCGACCACAGTCCATAGAATGCATAGTGCATGTTGAGGGGGTGCGAGAGTCTTGACACAATCCTTCGGCAGACAGATTGAAAAAAGAAATGGCCAAGGAAAGAAGCAAGAAATCAAAACGAGTCGGGTCGGACCTCAGAAGCTTCATTCTCAATCCTCTGCAGCACGGTATTGAACGTCGAGTCGGCGAAACCACTCTCGATACGGGCGGCTTCGTTATCGGCGAATCGAGTGGCCAGTCTTTCCGGACCATAGTAGAAGGCGTCTCCGAAGGGCTCGTGGATACATTGGATGGTATCCCGACGAGTCATGAAGACCTAGGACGGTTAGATTCGCCCGAAGGACATGGGAGGTATAGACTTGCACGTTCAAACGCCGTGGAACAGGCGCGAGGGTGAGTAGCGACGAAGATGGGTTTGGACGACATGTTGAGTCGAGTAGGATTTGAGAGATCACGTATAGCAGGATATCGAGTATAGCACGTAGAGCAACAGCAGTAGCAATGCAGTGCAGCGCAGAGCGGAGGTATCACGTATGCGGTCGTATATCTAGATATAGATATAGATACCGCCGACCAGTTCACCAACAACCAGGGAGTCTAACCACCGGCGCAGCGACTGATCAGTGGGTCCGACGGGAATTGCCGCAGGACCGTTCTGTATCTCGCAAGGAAGAGTAATCCTCCCAAGCAGAGTGGATGGGAAAGCTGGTGGAAACCCGAATCGTCAGGGGAATCGATCCAGTCAGAGAGGTGAGCGATGGCGAAGTCCGACCGGGGGGAGGAGTGATCGGGGGCAACGGCGGTTCTTATATATTGAAAAATGAAAATTCAAATAAAAAAAAAAGAAACCACCAAGTCCACCCAAAAAAGAAACCGAGAAACCGGGAAAATTCAACCAGGCAAAAAAGGGAAAAACGTAAAAAAATCCCAGCAAGGAAGGGAAGTGGATGAGAGAGAAGGCTGTTTCACCCGTGGAACCACCATGCCACCAATGCGCGATATTCGACCATTCCCATCCATCGTGGGATTTGTAGGGGAGGACGAGTGGTGTTGGGCCCGGAATTGTTCGCCTGATTATTCGAATGATACTGATAATGGTTTAATAATAGCGGGCGTTATAGACAACGATGCGCAAGGCTTGGAGCAGATAGGTCAACTGCACGAGGAGAATTCGGATTGCGATCTGCAGGGAGACCCCTCGCCTTGCGACGTATCCACCAGAGCCTAGACATCATCTCGATGAAGTCAGAACAAATAAGCGTGCAAAGGAGAGAGAAGAGGGGCGGATGGGTTTCCACCT